AAGTTTCGAACAGCTATTTATGGAGTTAATTCAGTTATTTATTTTCTTGTAACTCACAGCGAAATGGAATTAAACTTTTGTTGTTGTTATTATAATGTAGACACATAATATTATTATTATCAATTATATAATATGGAATAAATCAATTAAAAAAAAGAAAATATAGCACTTTGTATTAGGGTAATCGACTCGATTTTTCAACCGGTTTTAAAACCGGTTTTTTCTGCTTTACCAGTGTCGGTTTTTTCTAAATGTTGATTTTTCGAATATCGAATAACCCGGTTTTTTCACTTTTTAAAAACCGGTTTCGAATACTTTTATATGCTTTGTATTCAAAGATTATTCAAATGAAATTTTGAAGTAAATAATACAGCCCGTTTAAAAATATTCGAGTCCAGGAACTAAGATATATTTTTCTAAAGCACCATTGGTTAAACTTTTTTGATTTTCCTAATTAATTAAAAAATTTTATTTGTAAAATTGATAACTGTTTAATAAAATTTTATTAATCTTAAGATTATATTCCAATTACAATAATTAATTTACCGCTGAAATATTATGGAAGTGTTGGAATGCCTATGAAAATTTCCTAAAAGGGCTTTAGAATTAGCTAGGATTACATAGTACCTTATGTTTAACAGAAGTGTCCACTTTTTTCCTAATTTTTTTTTATATTAAAGAAATAATGTAAATCAGACGACTAGATCTAAAGTTATAATCTGTTAAACTGTTAAAAATCATTTCGGGCCATGTTTTATTCATCAAACTTAATCATAAACATTAATTTCTTCAAATTAACATATATTTTTTTATTTATTATGAAAAACCGGTTAACCGGTTTTTTCTGAATTTGAAAAATATCAACCGGTTTTTTTGAAATGTCAACTATTCGAACTATTCGAAAACCGGTTTTTGGAAAATGTCGAATAATCGATCACCCTACTTTGTATACAATGCCAAAAAAAGTTGCTTAGGTTTTCGAACAATACTGTATGTATGTATGTATGTATGTATGTATGTATGTATGTATGTATGTATGTATGTATGTATGTATGTATGTATGTATGTATGTATGTATGTATGTATGTATGTATGTATGTATGTATGTATGTATGTATGTATGTATGTATGTATGTATGTATGTATGTATGTATGTATGTATGTATGTATGTATGTATGTATGTATGTATGTATGTATGTATGTATGTATGTATGTATGTATGTATGTATGTATGTATGTATGTATGTATGTATGTATGTATGTATGTATGTATGTATGTATGTATGTATTGTATGTATGTATGTATGTCTGTATGTATGTATGTATGTAGTATGTATGTATGTATGTATGTATGTATTGTATGTATGTCTTCTGTCTGTCTGTCTGTCTGTCTCTGTCTGTCTGTCTGTCTGTCTGTCTGTCTGTCTGTCTGTCTGTCTTCTGTCTGTCTGTCTGTCTGTCTGTCTGTCTGTCTGTCTGTCTGTCTGTCTGTCTGTCTGTCTGTATGTATGTCTGTATGTCTGTCTGTCTGTCTGTCTGTCTGTCTGTCTCTGTCTGTCTCTCTGTCGTCTGTCTGTCTGTCTGTCTGTCGTCTGTCTGTCTGTCTGTCTGTCTGTCTGTCTGTCTGTCTGTCTGTCTGTCTGTCTGTCTGTTGTCTGTCTGTTATGTCTGTCTGTCTGTCTGTCTGTCTGTCTGTCTGTCTGTATGTTGTCTGTCTGTCTGTCTGCTGTCTGTGTCTGTATTGTATGTATGCATGTATGTACACAGAGAAAAAAATATACACGCCTGTTACCAAATTGACACCAAATTTTTCAATAACATCCGTTGTCGAGTATATACATAAATACAACAACAACATGTAATGTAGACCATGCAACTTTGTCAATATTGCAACAATTCGTTGTTGCTATCTAAACTTTATGCACATCCGTTGTCTAAAAGTTAACAAACGTGGTAAGCTCAAAATGCGTTGCCAATAGTGAGCTTACCTCGTTTGTCAACATTTAGACAATGGATGTGCATAAATTCTAACAATGGATGTGCATGAATTCTTGCAATGTTGACAAAGACCACGCAACGGTCTTTTATAAAATTGATATTTTTTAAATACACTATGGTGAATGGTATATAAGATTAGGCATAGCCGAATACACCACTCTTTGTTGTTTCAAATTATAATAAATTTTTTTATTTATAACAAAAACCGGTTAACCGGTTTTTTCTGAATTTGGAAAATATCAACCGGGTTTTTTCAAATGTCAATTACTCAAACTATTCGAAACCAGGTTTTTGAATCGGTCAAGAACTGCCGGACTTAGAGGGGGTCAAAATTGGACATTTTGGTTTTATTCAAATTAGTGTAACTTTTTACCTATTGGTCCTAGCAAAAATTGTCCAAAGGAGTTTAGAAAGCTATTTCTTCAAAAAGAAAAAAAAAAGAAAAAAATGTTTTTAATTTAAAAATTTTTTGACCAATTGAGAACAATGAAAACATTTTTGGCTGCCACCCTATTGAATATACATAAATATGTATGTAGATACAAACTTAAAACTTAGATATTTACAACTTTAATAGAGCAACATGTTGTCATTAAAAATAAAATCGACAATATTACAATACAATTTCCATGGCATTTACAACTATTTTGTTGGATTATATTTTCCATTTAAATCGCTCCTCTGCCATTACCAGTATTTACTTCAACAAATATTGTTATTATTATTATAGTTTTTATTATTTTATTTAAGCATCGTCCATATAAGGTAAGAATGCAAATATATATCGCATGTTTGTATGGGTTATAAAAATATGAAATGAATATGCAGTAGACCTGCCCTTAAAAATCGTTTATATTAGTATGAGATGTAACTAATTTCATTAATTATTATTTAGAACAAAAGTTTAAATCAAAATAATAAACAATAAGCAGTGTTAGAACAGTGTGTTAAAATCATCATTATATGAACATTTTTTTCTTTCAAAGATAATATTTTTCTAAGGACAGGTCTAATTTACACATAAAGAAAACATGTGCAATTACATAGATACGAGATACGTTTCAAAAGCTAGACCTTGCATTTCTTTTTTCCAATACAATTTTTAAGTAAACACAAAAACATATTGAATGACCATCGGATTTTCTATATACTCCACGCAATCGTTCTCTATTATTTACATGTCTATGACTTCATAGGTTTTTTGTCATGCAAATATCGGTTGAGATTTTTTCATATTTTCATACTAAAATGAATAAAATCCATTCTTTTGTTTACATTTCTTCCATTTTAGTCATCAATGCTGTCAATTAATAGTATTTACATGAAAAACTAAAAAACCACTAGGAATTTTAGAACATAATCCTAATGGTAACGAAGCCTTCAATGATCGATTTTGGTTAGTATTTCCATTCACATGGGATCATATCCGTTGTAATATATAGAATAAAAATGTATGAAATTACTTAAATGATTTTTTTCCAAAATTTTTGTTCATACTATATACAGTAGTTTTCCGATTTAACGACCATTCAATTCTACGAACATCGCATTTAACGAACAAGCTAATTTTTCCTATTGACTACCTTAAATAACGAATAAAACTTGTTTTTTGTACTCTGTTTAACGAACTAATAAAAATATTATTATTTAAATGAAGATAAAATGACATTTATCAAAAATAACAAATAACCTAAGTTGTAGCGGTGCTTTTATACCCAAAACTGTAACACATTCTGGGTTCTTATTAAATTTTAGTTCGATGTAGCTATGTCCGTCCGTCCTTCAGATAATGACTTTAACGCTCATTACTCGCTTAATAATACGATTAAATTCGATTCAAACATGTTCTATACTAACCGAAATCTCTAACAAATTTTATGGGAATCGGTCCATAATTGACCTTACCCTCCATATCAGGCCCCTTAAGAAAATTACTTCAACGCTCATTACTCGCTTAAAAATACGAGTATAGCGATGAACTTCGAGAAATAACTTTAACGCTCATGACTGAATTAAAAATACAGCGATGAAATTCGACACAAATATGGTTTGAAGGTGGGTATAAAAGATCCGGAACTTTGTGTTTTGTGCTATTTTTATAAAAAAAAAGAATTAATTTTTATAAAATACCTATTTTTAATTATTTTCCTACCAAAAACCCATGTTTTAGTTAGTACTGCATATAACGAACTTTTCAATTTTACGAACAGGCCTGACAACATATGGGTTCGTTAAATCGGAAAACTACTGTACATACATACATACATACATATGTATGAATATACAATTGGGTTAAAATAAACCTCTGTGTTTAGCAGTTAGTGTTGTTTTTAGAGTATATTGTAAATAGCACGCGATCAGATTAACATGAGTAGGTACATTACATTACATACTCACATATTTATGCACATTTATATTAACAAATATCCCAACAATTCGCGGTGACAGTCCCAAAATGTTATTTTGACATAGATTTTTCATATCTTCGCGGTACATATTACAATGATACAAATTGAGAATTGATATTTTTGATTGGGTAAAATAACCATTTTCTAAAGTAGAGTACAACTAAGTTTGAGATAACTACACTGTAGATTATTTAGAGACATTCAACTGAAAATATCCTGAATTTATATAGTAGCCAACTTGTTTTTCTTAGCAGTACAAGGAGTAAAAAAATGGAGGCTATTTGTAAAAGAACTACCTATTTAATTAGACGTTATGGGTTATTAATTAAATTTTTAAGGGACAATACATTTTATTGCACTTTTGTTACAGAACTTTTCCAAATTTCGGTAAAATAAAACTAGAACTTAAAGTCTTCAAGGATACAATATAAACTTTAGAAGCATTTTTTGCTTTTTTATTAAAAAACTGAATTACTTGAACAGTTACATTTATAAATTCTAATGAACATTTTAGTTGCACTTATACGCTTGTATATTATTGTCATTATTCCTAATAACTAATTGATTTTTTCATTTCCTTCATTTCTTTGCAGCATTTTCGTGAGCAATGCATTGATGGATCTGGTTTGCCGTTGCTAACCGAAGATCATTTGGTAAATTCGTTGGGCATGAAATTAGGACCAGCTCTTAAATTACGTTCTGTGTTGGCGAAGAAATTGGGCGGTCCTTGTCCGTGCGTGTCGTGTGTTGCACAAGTTCAACAGGTGTTGGCTTTGCAAACTGGTGGTATGACAGCAGCAGCGGCAACGATTGCAACGCCAACAACTACAAGCGATCATACAACAAGCAGCAGTTCCGCAAATGTTACTGCAATTGGTAGCAGCAGTAATAGTAGTGGTAGTTGTAATAGTCATTTACCAAAAAATCCATTATCGACCAGCAGTAGCACGAATTGTAGCAACTACAACAGTAGCAACTCTGTTAACAAGAATGAAAGTACAACAGCAGCAACAACAACAACAAGTTCTACAAATACCATTTTCACAAATAGCTCAACTACAAATGTTTGCAATAACGATGCCAACACAAACAACACACCCAGAAGCAATAGCAATTGTAATACTAATGTTGGTCATTTTTCATCACCACCACCATCATCATCTGCAGCAGCAGCAACAGCACCAATAACACAGCAACCACAACAACATCATCTTCATCAACAGCAACATTCACCTTCGCAAAATATTTGCAGTAACGACAACAGCAATCCTACTACCTATCGTCACGACAATGCTGACTCCAGCAGTTAGTTGATTATTTTGTATCTGAAATTATTGTTGCAATTCCTTACTATCAAATGGACTGGAATGAATGTTATGCAATCAATATTTGTAATGCCAAGTGAGTGGACTGTACAAGGACGTCAGACAGTGTCACACATTGAAAGAAAACTAAATACTTCCTTCCCTATACTTATGAGAGTATATCCTCTCGTCCAGTTTGAAATATAGATTAAAAATGAGACCTCGCCTCTTTCATTTATTTAATTTGATTTTCAATCTTCGGTTATCGTTTAATCGGTCGATTCTGTCGATTAAAATAATGTTTGAAAAATAATAAATGAAAATGATTAATATAAGTTATTGCTGAAAAGAAGTCAATTTAAATGTTTGTTTTATAAAATTTAGTTAAAATTAGCTAATTAGCTTACTGAGATTCTCCAGAGATCTCATAATGTTAATCGTGCTAGTAAAATATGAAAGCGATAATTTTCAATTATGGGAGGCTATATACATGGTTATATATATGCCTTGGCATTGATCGAGTATTTCTTAATATTAGAAAATAAATAATAAACCAAGTCCACTTATATTTAAAATTCGTATCATTCTAACTTCAAAATGGTTAGTTTTTAAAGATTTTGAGCAAAAATGTGCAATTTTGAACATGACCATATCCGATTTCAATGAAATTCGACAGACATATTATTTGCATATAAATTTTTTGAAAATGTTTGACATTTAGCAAAAATCTTAAAACTATGATCTTTGAACTTTGATAAAATTTTATTTGTAATGAAATTGAAAATTTTGAAGAACTTTAGAGGATATGGTGCGATACCTCTTCGAATTATTTTGAAACGATTCTAATGTAAATATAAATTTGTCGAAGAATGGTTTGCTTAAATTAAAGTTTCAGAATTTCAAATTAATTAAATATGTAATTCGCTAATGAAAGTAGGAGGGACTTGTCATTTTAACTACATTTCGTAGATATTGTAAATATTAATAATATGCACAACTAATCTTTTAATCTATTTTTGTTTTTATGACTTTATATTCTCTATGCAAAGTCCTGTTTTGTACACCATTAAATGATGACATTATTTACATTTACTTGAACAACAACTTAGAACTTAAAATTGCAAAAGTCGTCCAGAAAAGTTAAATGTATGTACATATTAAATGACTTTGCATATCGTACATACAATATTTACTATAATTTTAAATGAATACAAACAAAATGTAAATATATTATTTAAATATTATTTTTAAAAATCCTTAAATACCAAAATGCCTTAAATAAAAATTAATTATTTTAATTGTGTTTTTTAGTTAATTTTAATTAAAAACAAACAGCAACAATCGCAAAGTCTTCCAATCATAAAAGATTATTAAATAAAAAATAAAAGCAATTTAAATTAAATAAACAAAAAAACACAAGTAAAATCATGCATTAAATGTATGATTCTAACAACATAGAAATAAAATTCTAATAGATACTTATGAATTTAAGTGATTTTTTTTTAAATGAAAATAAACTTTTTAATAACAAAAAAAAATTACAAATTTTATAGTCAATTTTTAAATTAAGTTATATTTTATTTGTCGTTATTTTATTGAACTTATTTTTAATATTAAACTTAAACTTTAACAACTAAAACAACATTATTTACTTACATAAAACAATAAATTATAACAAAAGAAAAGAAAACCCAAGTGTACTTAAGATTTACAAAACTTTGATACTTTTATACATTTATGTATTTTATGTATTAAAAATATATAAATATAAAAAAATAATATGTATATGCATATAAATTAAGGAAATAGATACATAGTATATTTAAAAATAAATATAAATAAATGGCACACATTCATTCACACTATGGAAAAACAACAAATAATTATACAAATGTACTTGTATTCTTACATACATACCTTTACTTTTATTCATTAATTGTATGAATGCACGTACATATGTTTATGTATATCAATGAGTGTGTGTGTGTTACTGCATAAATAATACATATAAATTATGAATATTATATTTTTTATTCTAAATTAATGAAATGAATTAAAATACAATCTAATGTCTAACAACTAGTCACTAAAAATCAAAATTTGTTTTATTTAATAAATGAAAAAAAAGTTATAGAGATCTATTAATTATTTCCAATATTAATTCGATTAAAACTATATAAATATAAAATATATGAATATTTTTAAACATCCACTTATAAAATTATTGTTTTATTCAAAAAAGTTATCGGAAATACATCCATACATGTGTCCTGCTAGAATTTTTTTTAAATGTTTGATCACATTCGAGTTATTTATAACTCTTCCGCACGATTAAAATAATCACATATGTTCTCATTTTCTGATCATAAATGATACTTTCGTCGAAAGAAAATAAGGGTACCGCAACTCTTCTAAAAGAGTCTTTTATGAGTCAAACTTCTGATCAGTTACGAATCGTTTTTGTATCTTTTTTGAGTCGAAATACTGATCGTTTTATAGGCAATTTTGAATCATATTATAGTAATTTTTGGGCTTTTTCTGAGCCATTTTTATGCCCGTTACAAACAAATATAGAAAATTTGTTTGGATATTCCGACTGAACAAAATATAATAATTACAGAATAAATTTATAAACAATTATATTTCAAATACCTGGATGATATATTTATGATTGCTGTAAATTTTGTTATTGTTTTTCGAATAATACACACATTTTAATCATTAATGGTCTGTCAAAATTTTGTTTAGAAGAGAACGGATGCGATCGTCTAAACGCAATATGTAATGAAATCATCTCACATTGAGAGAAAATACGGATGGAAAATTTGACAGTCGTATGTAGAGTTTGGGGTTCGGGAAATCCCGTCCGGGAATTCTCGGGAAAAGTTTGTCGGGATTTCCCGGGAAATTTTTTTCATCATTCCTGGGAAAACGGGAAATTTTAAGTAAACGTATATGTAACATATTTTGGAAAAATAAGCGATTTTATAATTTATCGTAGATTTTTTTTAAAGACAAATTACAAAACATCATTTATGGTGAAATCTATACAAAAGCTTAACTTGAAGTACAAACAGAACAAAACATTTTGACATGAATGAATTTCCAAAGCCAACGTCTGTGTAAAGCGTTTGAGTTATCTCAGTAGATGGAAATTTTTTCAGAAAATAACGGAAAAGTTGATCTTTTCTTATATTTAATTAATTCTAAGAATTATGAAAGAATCTTATTAATTTAATACTTTACTATTCCTCTGCCTATGGAGTATATGATCTTTTTAGTATTTCTATGGTATGCAAACTATCTCACCAAGGTTGGCTATGAAATAACTGCCAAAAAAAAACAGTTTCTCTTAGCGGCTAGAGCAGGACATTTACAGAGAAGATGGAAGACAGTTTCTTCCTTTTCACTGCAACTGTGACAGTACTCATTGCAAGCCGACTTGCATATATGCCTAGCAAATGGTTTGGTTTGTTCTCAAAAGAGGGAATATTTTAGATATCGCTAAATTTATAAAAAAAAAAGTTGACTGCTTTTGTTAAAAATGTTGTTATTATAGTTATAAGTTAAGTTTTATATAAACGAATTTTTTCATTGCCGTTTCCCGGGAAATTGAAAAGCCCGGGAATTCCCAAACTCGAATCGAATGGCTCTTTTCATTTTTTTTAAACTATTCAAAAAACAAGCAAGTCGCATTAGATCAGGGATGTATTTTTATGTAAAAACATACAAAAAAGTGAAACAGCTGTTTCCATCTTACTTTGTTATTGTTTTATACCAATCGTGTAAATACAAAAAATGTAAATCATACGACTTTTATTCTCTTTTTTGTCATACGGATGGAATTTAATTTTACTTTTTCATTAGGCTTGTCGTACGTAAAGTGTGATCGTCTGAAGGGCGCTTTAAAATCATTTCTTAAGCTTGCTACTAATTATTCAGTTGGATCACTAATCACCAGACTTAGTTTAGTGATTAGGTCACCCAACTTTCTTCTGAATTTTTTATACATTTTTATACATGGATAATTATTATAATTAAAGCATAATATAATTTCAAAAGCAAAAATTGTCCAAAGGAGTTTAGATATATATTTCTTCAATGTTTTCAAAAAAAAGTTTTTTATTTTTTTTAATAAAGCAATAGCTAACTAAACTTCTTTGAACAATTTCAGCTGGGACCAACAGGTGAAAAGATACACTCATCTGAAAAAAAACCTGTATGACCCTCTAACTGCGGCAGTTCTTGATCGATAGAGCTGAAAATTTGTGTTTGGCCAATAGTACTAACCTTGGTGCAAATTTCATGCAGATAGATTTTTTGAGTTGTCTCTAGATGATATATCCTACATTATGCACAGTCTAACACTCATAATCTCAATCTCCAATTATCGTTTAAACGACAGACCGTTTACTCGACCGCGTACATTAGAGGGCGATAGTACTTATCGGTGACAGTAGGGTATCCAACTCTATTGATTCACTGGATCACCGTCTCAACGTGGGGTGTATTTCACGGTTCTATCGACACTACTCTGAAATTAGGGAACAAGTTCCAGAAGGAACCTGAGTGATGGTCCAATAAAAAAAATTTTTTAGAAATTGGTATACAGGTGTGATAAAATTCGATTTCGACATCAAATAGACTTGAAATCAATAATAGATGTGATGTGTTAACATTCGTCGAATTGTTACATCGATTTCATATTTCATTTTGTCCTATTAAGAAAAATATAATTTAGGTTAGGTTGATAGGAGGATGTATAGTACATTAAATCCGAAGAAATACACCTTGGCCTCCATCGAGCCTGTTGTGCGCTCCTTTTCATGAAAAAAAAATTGTTCACAGAGTACATTATTTTTCAATGTTCAGAAACTCAGTTTCCTGGATGTAATTGCTAAGAATTTTCCAATCAGTGTTAGTCTGGAATGTAATTTCCGGAATAAGATCAATTCCATGATACTTGGATCTAACTTCGACGAATGCCTGACAGTGGCAAAGAAAGTGCTCCAGAGTTTCACTGTCCTCTCCACATATTCTACATTCGTCTGAATCCCAGGCCCACTTTATTCCCCAATTTAGAAGCATCCGTGTAACAACGGATTCCTACTGGTATATAATTAATATAAATTACCCATGTGATCAGGATGCACTAATTACATCATGCATGTAATATAAATCAATTATGTTGATTTCAATTCGTTTTAAAACCGTTTTATTTTATTTCAACGAAAATTAGAAAAATGTAAGTAAATTTTGTTTTATAAGGAAAAATTAAATAGTTTTTGTAAATTTTTAGGGGAAAAGATAAGAATTATCTGCAGGAGGACGCATTAATCCAATTTATGGAAAATCATTCAGATATAGGCAGGGGCTTTACAAAATGCAATAAGTTAGAAGTTGAAAATTGATTTGACCACTGAAATTGCTTCATAAAATGTCCTTTTACATATATGTTATGTTTTATATTTCAACCAACAAAAGGAAGCAATTGCAACAGGACGGGATCCACATAACAAAATATATATATCTAAAAAGGAAGAGATAATGGGCCAGCTTTGTGGACTGTACTCTTAAGCTAACGGAGTAAAGAACTGCATATCTATAATAGGGTCTGATGTATTGTCATCTAATGAAGAGATTACTACAATAAATAGTACAGACTGTCGAGAGTTTTAACGTGAGCACCTGCCGTGTCGGCCTTATCTCACGGTGGTCTTTTTCATCCACTGGGTAGACTTGAGAACGGTCTGCCATCGCCCCTTTTTCTTCAATGAAGAACTCAGGTGGCAATTTTTATACATTGGCTTTGACCGGTCCATGCACAAATACTTTGCTGGAGTACTCGAGCTATCTAATCTCTTGCCAAAGTAGTCACGTTGGGGAAAGACAGGTGTCATGAGCAAGCTCAATCTACCCCGACATAATGTCGCCCAACCACACTACTATAGCTCTGTTGATTCGGCAACAGCACCTAGAGACGTAACCGGTGGACCGAAGCACGATCCATCAATAAGCCGTAGACATTGTTCTTACTCACAGTGATACGCTGTGGTAATTCTGATATGAACAGAGTATACTCTGAACATATCTGGACAAGGAAGTAAAATTTAATGGTATCACTTGTATATGATACCTTTCATCCATCATCATTCAACCCAGCACACTTCACATTTATCCGACACATTCATAAGAGAAAAACATACGACACACTCATTTAGATATACGGGTGGGCGAGGCCCGCATACCTCTACATTCATCCCGTATCATATACAATTGACATCAACCCATTTCCAACGCTTAGTCTCACAGTCACTCCTCTGTGGGGTATCTGTTGTTTTCGGCAACAGCACCGAACTTATCCCGAAATATTGACTATTATCCTGCATCAGTCTTTTAACCGCAACTTACTCTTCCCGCGAATTTGGGTTTAAACCACAGCCACTACGTGGATCCCGAAGGAACCTCAACCAACTGACCAGCCAGGACATAGTCCTGCGGGCAACTGGCCACCCGTAGTACCAGATTATGCGGTGCTCTGGTCTGACCTCTGGCAACCTATGCAAGGACTAAGCCAGGCAGTAGACTGTAACCAATTTTTCAGTCCCGGTGAGACTGGAGGTATTGGCCACCTCTTTATACCCCGGGATTGCAATAACACCAAGGCGGAGGTCTCGCCAAGGTAACATGCCCCCGGAGGGAAAAAAAAATAAATAGTACAGTAAATAGACCGGACAAACGCACAATTTAAACTCTCAGCAATATTATCGCGTATTATATTTGCAGAGCTTGATAACAAGATAAAGCCTCATAGCTTTTATCTTGTTCATCCAATTCATCACCTAAATGTTCTTCTAATTCATCAATGGGATGATTAATTTTAAGGGTATTACACAAGTTGTGCAAAGTGTAATAAATATATATAATTTGTACGGTTTTTAAAGGTGAATACCAAAGTTTTCTAGACAAACAGTACTGAAAAGTCGATTTAGGGACTTTCAGTACTCCAATTGTATTTTCGACTACGTTTATCACAGAAATATGACTTTTATTAAATCTTTGTTGAATAATAGTTCTTGGATTCCTGTAGAAATGATTCAAGTGGATAACCTGAATCAGCTAACAACCATGATCCGCGTTCTCCATTTTCATAAGATGTAATTAAAAAGTTTCGAGCTATGCTCATACTGAAAATAAATGAATCGTG